AAGTTTTTTAACGCAGCGGATGCTCTTCCAGCTGCAACCAATCTCTGGGAAACATCCACACACACATTCACACACACACTTATACACTGCGGACAATTTAGCCTACCCAATTCACTTGTACCGCATGTCTTTGGACTGTGGGGGAAACCGGAGCACCTGGAGGAAACCCACGCGAAGGCAGGGAGAACATGCAAACGCCACACAGAAACGCCAGCTGAGCCGAGGTTTGAACCAGCGACCCAGCGACCTTCTTGCTTTGAGGCGACAGCACTACCTACTGCGCCACTGCCTCGCCATTATTATTATTATTATTATTATTATTATTATTATTATTATTATTATTATTATTATTATTATTATATAAAGGTAAAATGTTACACGACACAGAACATGGCATTATAGTTCAAAAAGGTTAAACTTTTTTTACATTTTAAAAACTATAAATGTAATAAGTGTTTCACATACACACACACAGAGAGAGAAAGAGAGAGAGAGAGAGAGTTTTGCTTTAAAATTTGTGTACACCTTGTATAATCTGTAAAAATGTAAACAAAATAAGAGATCATACAACCATGTTATTCTTTATTAAGTACTGACCTGTGTAAGATATTTTTCATAAAAGATGTTTACATTTAGTTTACAAGCCAAAACATAGCTGAAGTTATTAAAATGACTCCCTGTAAACGTTTACATACTCTCGGTTTGAATGTGGTTTTTTGATAATCTATGAGTAAGTTAGGTTTTTTTTTTTTCAGCTTTGTGATGGCTGTTTAAAGAGAAGGGTATGAACGGAGGTTGGTGCCAGCTACAAGTGGGTGGGACTTGAGCTCCAATAGGGCAAAATATAATAGTAAATATATATGGGGAAAAGATGAGACATCTCATTTTAGTCTCTGCAAATTAAACATACAACAAGAATATTAGTTTTAAATAGAGTGTCTAAGCATTCAAAAAACCAAGCATTTCAAAAAAAGTGAAATTATATGAGTGAAATAATGTCCCATATTAATTTAGCATGACATATTGTGTAAAATAAGGATAGTGGCCAAATTATTAAGGTTTATAACTAGTCATTTATTATAGTATTATAATATGTAAAATTATAATTATAATATAATTAAGTAATATAATTAATCATTTTGGGCTGTGCTCATACTTTTTAATATGCTATCCAATTCTTCTTGTTCTAAATGTGATTGAAAATATTTTTCAGGACATAAAATACTGTTAGACTAAAGACATTTTAGTGGGTGTATGCAATTAGGCCTTTATGGTATGAGAACAATGAGCTCAAATCCAATGTACAACTCATTTTATTTCAATAGGCTAAATTTGCAAAGATAAATAATTTGCTGATGTTACTGATATTTTTATAAATGATTTTTAAATAATTATACAAAGTTTATGTTAAGTCATGAGAGATGTGCTGACATTTCCTAAAACATCAACAGACAATATAGTATTCTAGGTATTTTAGGTCTAAAACCGGTTTTTCAGCAAAGTATGGGTCATGTTGGATGAGTGTTTTGTTTTTTTGCCTATTAAATATGATACCATATACTGTTGCTAGCAGCTCACTAAAAATGCTAATTTGCTAATAAAGGTTCATACCATATATCAAAATCCATTAGTTTTCAGTAGTTGTATTAGTATATATATTTTTTTTTTTCAAAGTGTGATTTTAAATGCATTAAAAATAAGTAAAATTTTTGTAGAAAAAAAATATATGTACTGTATATCATTTATTAAAAAATGTAGGCAATACATTATAGAATAATTTTATTAAAAATTTTATTAATCTTATTTTTTAATTCAACTATAGGGGTGCGGCTAGGTAGGGAAGCAACAGTGCTACCAGCTGCGCCAGCGCACTAATGAATTATTGTGTTTTAAAACCAGGCCTTTCAGTTTCATTGTCTAACCCCTGTGGATGTGTAATTCATTTTATTTACAGAATGCATTACTGTTCATCTGTTCATCTCATAAATTTCAGCTTTACACATGCAAAAAATGTGTGGTTATGCTTAGTACATTTGTATAGTTTGAGTTTAATAAGTGAGTTTAAGAGTTTAACTTCTATTTTTTTTTCTACATTAACACTGATTCATTGTCATTTCCACCACACCCTGTCATTTCCATCACCATACACTTTTTTTAATATTTAAAAAGTTCTTATCACACATTAAAAGTGTATTCACAATTTATAAGTTCATGCTCTATTCACTATACAAATTCAGTTTTTTATTTTCTAATAAGCTCTTAACCAAATTAGTATTTAATTTTAGTGTGACTGGTGTACAATTCAGCATTTGGTCCTAATGAACTAATTTATTTCATTGACAACTGTAATTATTGTATATATTGTGCAAAGATAGGTTAAACTAGATACAAAATTGATCTTAGACAATTTTTGACTGCCATAATTTATTTCATTTTGAAATAACAGCTGTATATTGAAATGTGGTGGAAATCACATTTGTTCAGTTCAGGATGTAAAAAAAATTAAATATAAACAATTTCTGACCTCTTTTTTTGACCTCTTACAGATCCTAAAACTAGACAAATTGATTAAACTTATGAGGCTGTGCTACAGTGATTTTGAACAAGTTTTTTTTACTCAAATTAACAAGGCGAAAAGTGCCCTTAGTTAAAGAATTGCACTTAAATTAGTACCTACATACACTTTTGTACTTTTATAAAGTAACATTTTTTACCTTTTGAAAAGGTACCACCACAGTTACAGCTCGTGTACCTTTATTTCTGTGAGTGTACTATGGATGTCAATGGCTGCTGCCTTCCCACATATTTCAGAATATATATATTCTGAAAATATATATATATATTTCACACACACACACACACACACACACACACACACACACACACACACACACACACACACACACAGGCATAGCAAATTTAATAGTGTGGTACCGGATGTCGAAGCATGTTTGTGCTTCAGTTTGTGAATGCCATCCTGTCACAATAATTCTTGTTAACTTATCACGTAATACATGATCATGACCACAACTATTTTTGGTTACACAATATATACCACCGGCCATGATGTTTATTTAAAAAAATGAATGTCACCTACATTTTGGTTATTTTGTGCAGCCTCTGTTGGAGGTGTCAGCGAGCACAGAAAACTCCTTTAGAACCATGCTTACTGACAGCTAGAAAAGAAAAGGTCAGCTTTCATATTTTCCTAAAAACTACTGACAGTTTGAAAGAAGTCTTCCAAATGAGCTCTGGTTCAAAGCTGCAGCCTACTTACAGTGCATCTGGAAAGTATTCATAGCGCTTCACTTTTTCCACAATTTTTTATGTTACAGATTTATTCCAAAATGGATTCAATTAATTTATTTCCTTAAAATTCTACACACAATACCCTATAATTACAATGTTAATAATATGTATATTTTTTAAATTGTTAAAAATGTTTTAAAAATAAAAAAAATAAAAAATCACATGTACAGAAGTATTGACAGCCTTTGCCGTGAAGCTCTAAATTGAGCTCAGGTACATTCTGTTTCCACTGATCATTCTTGAGATGTTTCAGCAGCTTGATTGGAGTTCATCTGTGGTAAATTCAGTTGATACACCTGTTTATATGAGGTCCCAGAGTTGACAGTGCATGTCAAAGCACAAACCAAGCATGAAGAAAAAGGAATTGTCTGTAGACCTCTGAGACAGGATTGTCTCAAGGCACAAGGCTAGGGAAGGTTACAGAAAACAGTTCTGCTGCTCTGAAAGTTCTAATGAGCACAGTAGACATAAGTGGAAAATATTTGTAACCACCAGGACATCCTGAATGAAAACCTGCTTCAGAGTACTCTTGACCTAAGACTGGGGCGACGGCTCATCTTGCAGCTGGACAATGACCCAAAGCACACCGCCAAAATATCAATGGAGTGGCTACACAACAACTCGGTGAATGTCCTTGAGTGGCCCAATCAGAGCCCAGAACTAAATCCAATTAAACATCTCTGGAGAGATCTGAAAACTAATCCTTTCAGAAATCAGAATGAAAAGGTTTTGTTCCTTGATAATGTTACTGTCTATTTGGAATAATATGCTGTTGTATTCCCTATAATTATTATTCACTAAGAAAGTCAGTCCCGCACAGACCACTATAAGAAAGTCAGTCCCGCACAGACCACTATAAACACTATGGGAAATATGTCCCTGGCATGTTACACTGCTGACTTTAATGGCAATATATTGTACTATTTGTAATAAGTGGCATTTAAAATGTTGGCGAACTAAGTCATTTTTACAGGGTTTTTATTTGTTCGTTTGTTCTGTTTTTTTATGGGGTTTTTTGTGCAGTAAAATGTTCTTGGAGCTTCATTGAATGTTGGTTCATTGTATGTCTTGGGATCACTGCTGTCTATGGATGACCAGAGAGCAGTCATCTAAAATATCTTAATCTGTGTTCTGAAGATGTCTTGAGGGGTTGAAACCAGAAAGGTGAGTAATTTATAACAGATTTTTTTAACCCTTTCAGAAATCAGAATGAAAAGGTTTTGTTCCTTGAAAGTGTTACTGTATTTGGATTATTATGCTGTTGTAGGCCCTATAATCATTATTTAAACAACAATAAATGGTCAATAAGTTACAATATCACATTTTTTAAAGAATTTTGTTTTAAATTTTATATGGCATACACCAATATGATTATCTGCAGTTCCTGTGATGATGACTAAAAAGTTTTTTTTATTAAATAAAAAAATTGAGGACGCAGGAATTAATCCATTCATTTGTTTTATTTTGCTTTCAATCGCAGCTTAACGTTATGTCCTTTTTCTAAGGGTCAGATCGCGCCAAAGCAGAAAAAAACTTGTATTTATTCATTTATTTATTTATTTACGGTGTTGCCCTTAAGTGGAATTTTAAGGGAGAAAAGTCACCTACCTACATCTTGGTGTGCATTTACCGCAGAAAGCGAGAAAGCAGTTTTGTAACTTGGTAACTGCCCCTTTAACGTTCCATGTGAATGCAAATGAACGGGATGGAAATGAGACAAGAACGCTCTCGGTTTGGGTGTTGGCAACGCGGAAGGATGGTAGAAAACCACCAATGATCCCTTATGGGTGGGGTTTACTCGAGGGTGAAGGGGTACTAGTATTTTATAGTAAAATACTAGTAAGAATAGAAAGTCAGCTGCTGCTGTCTGCCGGTTGAATGTTTATTTTTCGTCGAGTTGGAATGTGTCAGTTTTGAGGTCGTTGAGTGAATTAATTCGACTTCCTAAAGGTAAGCACGTGCGATTTTTTTAGAACAGCTGTGTCTGGATTATTCCTCATTTGAGCGCACTTTTTGATGCTGTGAACTATTTTTAAGTTGCTTTATAAATCGTCTCTGTATTGTCGTGTCTGTGATGCACATGCTTGGCTGCTGTCCATTTAAGGGCTGATGCAACGCTGGACGGTGAGAGATAAGGAGTTACCGCGTAAATACGTATGCGAATAGATGATGGTTAACTAGTGTGAATCTGTTCAATCTAGTTTAATGTGTTAGGGATTATCCAGTCTTTGTTTCAGCATTAAAATCGTTGACGTGGAAAGCTGGCACGTCCTTGTACAGAGCGCGTGTGATTCATTGTGCTCTAACTTAGACTTGAAAAAGAGCAGAATGTATGAGCAAACCTCAAACAAAACCATTACGAGCAGAAACACTGGTTTGCGAAAATGCCCACTATTGCGTTAAATTATTCATTCATATATTTTCTTTTCGGCTTATCCCTTTATTCATCTCGCCATAGCGGAATGAACCGCCAACTTATCTAGCATATGTTTTACGCCGGGAATGCCCTTCCAGCTGCAACCCATCATTGGGAAATGCATTAAATTAACGTTTTTCTAATGTTTTTTAACTGGTTGCTGCAGTTATACATTCACTGATCTGTAACGTTAGCTCTTCTGTCACGGCACGGGCTTTATGATTCCAGACCAAAGTTTTAGATTCAATTCTTTTGATTCAGAGGAACCGAGTCGCAATTTCCAAATAATATTACACATCTAAAGGATAATATAGGCTATCAAACAAGTTTTAATACAAATTCTTCATATGCATATTTATTTATATTCACATAGTATGAGGGTTTCGAATTTTTTTTAACTGTGTTTGAAATAAAAAATAAGATGTTTTTAAACTGTAGCCAATTTAAAATCAATCTATGTAATGTAAGTGCAAAATAAACATTTTGTTTTATGTATGGTTAATTTATATGCATTTGATGGTTAATTATATGGGTCATTAATTGAAAACAGTACAGAACAACAACATGCATGCGAGCGTATAAATGAACGAATCATTTTTCACTGTTTAATAAACTGAACCTTTCAAAAGAACCGATTTGCTAAATGAATCAAATTTCTGAATGTACAAGCGTAGTGAGGCGCCACGCGCATGGGACAGTCCGCATTGTTGCTGTTTTAGACGGGGGGTTGCGCTTTATTATGACGTCAAAATGCGGGAAATTTGTTTCGTTTTCATGCATACCCCCAAACTCGTCTCAGCGCAAAATAATTATTTTCATAAAACAAATACCCCATTAATTTGAATCGTATACAAGCAAAGAAACGGCTGAGGTTCAAGGTGACTTGATACGTTTTGTTTTAATGAAAAAAAATAACGAGGATTGTTTCATTCATTAGCAAAATAAGCTTATCACAAAACAGCTTAGTATATGTAATGCGTAACTTGCCTCCATAATGTGCATAGCAGAACCAGTATTTACTGATTACTACGCGATAATACCAACACTCCTTTGTAATATCCATATTAATAATAAACATTCAATTATTCAGCATTATTAGAATCTTTACTCTGAAAAGTTTAAGAATGCACCTGGAAAGTGTTTGAAATGTGCTTCGAAGGTGTAACTTATGTTTATTGTCAGGTACTCTATTCTTTATGTGTGAAGAAAAGCATTGAATAATAGTTATGAGTAGATTAATGAAACTGAAAGTTGAGTACACATTGAAGCCAAAATATATAATGCAGATGCATATCAGTTTAAAATGTGTGCTTCTACACAAGTATGAGCTTTTTTTTTTTTTAATTAACAAACTGAAACATTTACATTACATTACATGCCAGGGATCAAAACAGAAATGTATCTTTTAAACAGATTCACAGTTTTTACAGCTTTTTTGTTAGTACATTCGGAAATCAAAGACATATAAAGATTTAGATCTTTAAGAAAAATCTGAAAGAAAGGTTTATGCTTACAAAATTTACACTTGTGTATCCGCTTGTTAAGTGGTGACGTGTTGTGACGTATGTATACTGTTTCCGGGTCCAAGCCGCCGTTCATTTGAGTGGAGAAATCTTTTGTTTATGATCGCGTTTTATTCCTATCACACATTAAAGTTAATTTTACATAAAGTCATAGTGTACACAACAATCTCTGGGTTTGCTGCATAACAAATACCACAATTTTAACAATTTATAAAACAATGAATCATTTTCTGGCCATTGGATATTAGGCATGGACATATATATTGCGATCATGACTTTCGAAAGTATTAAATCGCTTTGTAAACGTTTATAATTACCATTTCATGAATCTCCCTATTCAGTTGAATAGAGCGCTTGGACCCAGAAGCCGCTCCACGTGACGTCACACTTAACAAGCGGATATTATTATGCATGTGCAGCACCAGTGTAGTATGACTTTTTAATTTTTTTTGCTATTTCTGCACAGAATTTTGTAAAAAGAATTTTTTGTAAAAAAAATAAACAAATAAAAATCTGTGGATTTATGCAGAATGATGGTTGTATCATAACTAAAAACTATATGAAATTAAAAGAAATAATGGTGTTTTAACTTTTATTTAATGTTTTTAGTGCAAATCGAATTAGATCCACTTAATTGGTGAGCAAAGCAAGTCTCTCATAATATATCTACTAAAAAACACAAAATATCACTTTACAAACTGTATTGTAAATAAATCATATAACCATTTTCATGTTTGTCAATATTACTGAAATTAAAAACTGAATAAATATAAATTTATACGTTATATATTTACTCAAGTTAAATGATGGGCTAAAGATGTGTGTAAATCTGCGTATTTCTGCACGTGCAGATTCCGAGTGGCCCTAATTATGCCTAAAAAAACAATGAAACATACTACATAATAGATTAATGTTGCAATTTTGCTCATTAAATTCTTAATGCTCATCTTAAATTGTTAAAATACTGGTTTTAACCATTAAATAATATATTTTTAATGCAATAAATAAACACCATTAAATCAAGATGTTTACTTGAGATGAAAAATTAAGAAGTTATTTTTAAATTAAAATTATGTTGTATGGAAATGACATTTACATTTTTCTTCTGTGCCTGTAAGCAAATATTGTTTGTGTTTTAATATGAGAAGTAGGGATGCACCAATACCAGCATGGTTTCCGTTACATTCATTCTGCCATGGTGGGGTGCCACACCAAAATTCATGACTCCATGACTACATTACAGCTTTTCCTTCACAACATTCCGTCATTGTTTTTTTTTTTAAATAGTGGGTTATAATCGCACCAAAACGCATTAAAAGGTAAGTGAATTATAACAACGCAACTGTAACTGTAGTAGTGCTGTGCTTTATTTGTTTAACCCTATAAGGCAGGGGTCACCAATCCTGGTCCTGGAGGGCCGGTGACCCTGCAGTGTTTAGTTCCAACTTGCCTCAACACATCTGCCTGGGTGTTTCAAGTATATCTAGTAAGACCTTGTTTAGCTGGTTCAGGTGTGTTTGATTAGGGTTGGAGCTAAAATCTGCAGGACACCAGCCCTCCAGGAACACGTTTGATGACTCTTGCTTTAAGGTGACATACTGACTGACTGACTGACTGACTGGCAGGTGCTTGATACCTGAGGCCAGCCAACACACGTAGCTTTCAGTTAAGATGAACACAGTTTCCATAATTATAATTTAATTTATTGATAAAGGTCTGTGGTTCTGCATACAATGACTTTATTTTGCTGGAGTTTATTGCCATTTTCACTTTACTACAGGATGCATTAATGCCGCTCTGTAGGTCTATTGAAAAGATTCATAAATATTCCTAGCAAATCTTATAAATGTTGGAGACATACTCACTACATAAACATGCTAAATCGCACTTCAGCAGTGTTTATTTGAGAGCGCACAAGAAGATCTGCGCTTGAGCAGCATATATTTGAGGGCACAGGCAGAAGAAATCGGAGAACAATCAAAGAGATTCACATGTTCGTATAACATAAATGCGTTCTCGAATTGTAATACTGCGCTCACGACATTTCTTCATTTGTCATTGAAAAAACACCATAGGTAGTTGGTAGATTTGTGTGAGAACTATCGCCACAGCTGGAAAAAATCCTAGAGGAAACACTGACCAGTGTCGGGTATAGGGTCAATACTTGGTTAAAATACTCATACTCGTACCACTCAACAGTAATTCTACTGTTAATTCCACATCCACCACATGGATGTGATTTGTTGTCCTACTTGACTTTAATACTAAAAAAACAAATCGAATATGAAATATGATCCTTGCATAATGATCACAGCTAAACAAGCTAGCACTCATTTTATTTATAAGCTATAAATAAAAAATGAAAGAAATTTTACTAATGGGACATTATATAAAATTCTAAAGACTACAGGCTAAATAAAAGCGACTTGTCTGTAAAGATCAGACAGCCAATACAGATCACACAATCTCAATAAACACAATGTAGACGTACAAATATTTTGAGTATTGACAATGAAATATTATAATGATATGATCTAGAGCTGCACAATTAATTGTAAAAAGATGGCGATCTCGATTCGACCACCTAGACAATCTTAATCCAGCATTTCTACGATTCTGTCAATCATATTTTCAAATTCAGAAGAGAAGCAATAGTGGCCGCACAAGTCTTCACATTGTTTTTCATGCGTTGTTCAGCAACTTGGACACCTCCAAATTGTGTTGAGTCACATGCTGTATTTATAAAATATAATTCACCCCAAAAATGTAATTTCTGTCTTCATGTAATGATGTATTTGCGACCACAAAATCACACATGACGTGAGCTGACTGTCAGCTGTTACGATCGCGCGCGCCTCTGAATGAAGTCTACTTTAGTGAACAGAACCGGCAGAGGCTGTGAATAACAGGTAATAAAGTTGTAAATAACATTCAGTTTGTGTGTCAGAGTGATCGTTTGGGAGCCGCGCTGGAAGTGAACCTCTCTTAGCCGTGAAAATGAAACTGAAAGC